CCAAAATATTGCCAATCTTTTCTAAATTGTTACAAAGTATGTTGCACTGATTTGATTGAGTTGTATTCTTTCGTTAATTCGTTAAATTGTTATAAAAAACCTAGTCTATTTTACCATTATCATTTATCTCTAGATTAAATCTCAATGTTACTATTATTAGTTATTATCAATATCTATATTATGTTCTCGATAACATTGTTAATAATAATATCTGAATTAATATCAGTGTTGAGAATATCTGAATTATTTATATCATTCTCGCCATTATTATTGTTAATTTTGATAATCTCAATATTTTTCGTAGTAGTACAGTAATATACCAATATTAGTACTAACAGTACTATCGCTACTGTCAGCACTGGAAGTATTAATAATATTCTCTTGAATTTAAAATCTTTATTTTCAAAGGCTTTACAGTCATTGAATTTCTCATACTCATTATAAAAATATCCATTGAAAATTGAAATTTTGTTATTATCAATTTTCCATTGATATCTTTTTCATTAGCATCATTCTTATAATATTCAATTGAAAACGAATCTCCACATTAAATAACAATAAATATTAATAAAATATATAAAATATATATAATAATTGCCGCCATTCCATTCTTCTGAATTTATTTTATTTTACGAGAAACTTTCTCGAATACAACAATAGTGTGAGGTGCATTTTTACCAATATACCAACTAGATGCGGTAGTCTTGAATACCTTGCCTTGAATTAAATATTTACTTCTAAATTCATTTGGTAGGTAACAAGTGAATTCACTACTCCACAATAGATCAATCAACTGTTATATTATCACAACTATAATCTAAAATCTAAAACAGTTTGTCATGTTTCAATTCTTGCCTTGGGATCCAATCCTCATCATAGTAACCTTTTAGTTGAGCGTCACTATCAAACAGATTATCATAAATATAGAACTTTACATTCATATCACCCGTCAAGGTTACTTTGGCTGTGATAGGATATTCGACTGCATAATCATCAGTCTCTTAAATTTATAATTATTATGAATTTTTCATTTTCGAATAATTTTCAAGCAATACTAGAGTGAAGATAGAAAAGGAGAAAGCGAGATAATAATTTAAAAGATTCAAACGATTGAGTTATGTCAAACCCAAAGTCGAATTGAAATATTAAAAGAAAAATTAATAATAATAATAATAATAATAATAATAATAATAATAATAATGAGTTTACATATTTACGTACATTAATATATTAAAATTTTTTGTCATCGATTTTAACACACTATACATTACTAAAAAGAGTTAATCGACTAACTATATTTACTTTGAATAGTATATCAATTTATATTAAATAATAATAACACTAGTACTAATACTAATACAACTAATACAAACACAAAGAATAACAAAAAATCAAAATTTAGCAAAAGGTTCATTGTAAAAACAAAAAAACAAAAAGATAAAGAAATAAATATGTTTGTGATAAAATCTCTTGGGAAATTGATCTGGGGTAATTATAAGATTTATATAATATGTATATATACTTGTACCTTTATATTATACTTACATTTACATTATATATATATATATATTAAAGGGAATCCTGACATCCCTGAACTTATTAAGATATCAGCAGGACAATTATATCTTGTTAGACCAAATAGTTTGAAGGGAACGAGAGAATGCATGTATGTAATCTTATATATAATTAACGATAAAATATTATTATTATGGTGATAGGTGTTACCTTTTTCTTTATTTTTTTTTTAAAATAACAAGTGATGTTGATAAATTTTCATAAATTATAGTTTCCATGATGCACAAGCTGTAGTACGTCGTACAGCTGTCGAATGGCAATATCAATTGGTTGTTACAAGAGTTTATCAAGAAGGTGAAGATGAATTAATCAATGATTCCTTGGACATTGAAGGTAAACAAAACAATATTAGAAATGAACCATGTGCATGTTTTATTATTAACTCAACATCCATCTACCCTACCTGACTTATTTAAGATGATGAAAAGCCATTTTTAATCGATGGAACATTAAATTTTCGTAAAGGACATATAGATGGTTTATCCACATTTTCTTGGAGAGATTTATCAGGGGTATGATTCATATATTATCATGATAATAATCACCATTACAGTCACCATTACTTAACATAATAATATGATCATTTTATAGGATCCCGATGATGTGTTTGAATTTGTGTGTGATGTTAGCACAACTGCACATACAGTCAACGCTTTTGAAATAACCATTTATCAGTGCATGTATGAGAGAAAATACAAGAAATCTAATGAGAATGCAACTGAAGAAGAACTTCAAAGTTTTGTTTACAAGTAGGAGCAAAATTCCTTGTAAAATTTTGAAAATTATATATACATTATCTAAAGTTTCTTGATTGATTTTATAGACCAACTGATGAAAATACTCAAAAAACTCCAACTAATGTATCAAAATCAACTTCTAATGCTCAATCAACATCACCACCACCATCATCATCATCTTCAACTGCTACTGCAAAAACAGCAGCAGCTAATAATAAAAAGATCAATAATAATAACACTTCACCAGCGTCATTGTCATCAGCAAAACAATCTCTTATATTTGATTTTCCAGGAGCACCACCAGAAGTAGAAATTTATAGTACTGCTAATGGCGAATTACATTATTATGATCCTGGAGCTGGTGTTTTCATATTGGGTAAACCTGGAATTACAGCTACAATACTTAGAGGAGAAAGATTTGAATGTATCCTTTACTATTTGTTTATACAGTGTACATATGTGTACAATTATTAATTATATTATTTACCTTAACAGAAATCAAATTATCTAATTTTTAGATTTTTTGATAATAGTTGATGATGTTCAAAGGTTAATTGTGCAAAAACTTGAACCAAGAATGAATATAGTTTTTAATCAAGTAATAATGTTTATTTATATATATATGCACATATGTATGTGTAGATATTATTTTTACATCTATTTATTAATATCATTAATGTTTATATAATTTATCACTTATTTTTAGACCCACCAATGTCTCATATGGTGTTATTATGATAGTAAATATTATATGTAATTGTAAATAAATTATTTTGTTACATATATTTTCTAATTTGGTTTAATTTATGAATAATAGAGGAAGGACATGTTTATTCATTATTGATGAAATTTAATGAACAAGAAAGTGAAGCCCGTTTCAAGAAAAAGCTTTCTGCTGCCATGTATGAAACATTAAATGAAACAAGAGTCAAGGTTAACAATAATATTTAATAATGTTTATAATTATATTAATAACTATAAAGATTTTTATTAAATGCACACATATATTTATATGATTATTTTAGGAAGATGATCAAGATTATATAATGAGTGCTTATCAAGAAGACACTGAAATGGTTGATTCTGAATCAATAAATGAAGAATCGGGCAATGGCAAGCATTGTACTAAATATATTGATATATTATGTTAAATATTTTTGATTATAATTAATTTCCCTTTAAAAAAAAGAGTCAAATGAATCAGATGATGGTGAGAAGAATGATGATTATGATGATAATATTAATACAACAGGCAATGGCGAATCACCAAATACTCAACTTGCTGTTGGATATAAACATGATAGATCATTTGTTTTAAAAGGCAACAATATTGGAGTGTATAAACACACTGATGATGATAATTTGGAATTTTCAACCAATATTGCAAAAATTAAAAAACCAAGTGGGCTACAATTTAATCCATCAAAAGTTTGTATTTTCTTCTTTCTTCCCGCATAATATAACAATAATTTCACCACAATATTATTTACTAAAATTTATACATATAAATATGTATATAGGCTATGTTACATGAAGAAGATTCTTCAATGATCCTCATGGATCCAAATGATGAACATAATCTTTACAAAATGGATCTCGAGTATGGAAAGGTGGTCGAGGAATGGAAAGTGCATGAAGATGTCCCTTGTGAAAACATTTTTCCAGACAAAAAATATGCTCAAATGACTGGCGAGAAAACTTTTATTGGCATGTCACACAACTCTTTGTTTCGTGTTGATCCACGTTTACCTAATGAAAAATTAGTTGATTCACAACTGAAGTTATACACTACAAAAAATGCTTTCAGTTGTGGTACTACTGATTCTAAAGGGCATATTGCTGTTGGGAGTAGTAAGGGTGATGTGAAATTGTTTGATACATTGGGTAAAAATGCAAAAACCAATTTACCAGCTTTGGGTAGTGCTATTAAAGGAATTGATGTTAGTTCTGATGGTAAATGGATTATTGCTACCACTAGCAGATATCTTTTGTTAATAGACACTGAATTGCCATCAGATCCTAATCATAGATTAGGATTTGAAAAAAGTTTCCCAAAAGATAAAAAGGTAGTGTTTTTTTTTTTAATTTTAATTTATTGTTTGGAAGGACCTGATTAATATTTAATATTTAACATATTGTTTAATTTTATATATACAAGCCAACACCAAGAATATTACAATTACGTCCTGAACATGTTTCTCTCATGGAACATGAAGTAATTTATTTATTTACTATTTGTTATTATTATAATGATGCTGATTGACAACAATACTAATAGAAAAAATTCAATAATCATTTTTAAAGGTGGATTTCACTCCTGCTAGATTTAACACAGGTGAATCTGATTTAGAAAAAGCTATTGTTACGAGGTATGTACATATATCTATATATATTTTTCTTTTCTCAAATTAATAATATTTTTTTTTAACAATAAAAGTACTGGACCATTTGTTATTACATGGAATTTCCGTCGAGTTAAACAAGGGAAATTGGATGATTATCAAATTAAACGTTACACTGATAATGTAGTTGCTGATAATTTTAGATATGGACAGGATCGTTCAATTATTGTTACTTTACCATATGATGGTAAATACTTATGATAATTATCATTATTATTACTAAAAATGTTGTAATTATTAATTATTATTATCATTATCATTAGTTACTTTAATTAAGAAAAATCATTTAGCAACTCCAACTAAAGCTACACTTTCACCTGCAAAATCGGTAGGAATTGATTTTTTATATAGATGCATATATTAAATTTTAATTATTTAACACTTTGATTTTTATTATATTATGTTAGGATAATTCAAGATCAAACATTGTTAGATCTCTATGGTGAAAAAATATTAAAGTGATAAAAATTATATATTTATATATATTTTAACATACAAATCATTTATCAATCAATCAATAAATATTGTTATTATTTTATCATGTGCGAAAATAAATAAATTTACTTATATTGACTAATTATCAAATTCCAAATGTCCTTTGATAGCATCACCAACATTTGTTAAATCAATTAAAAATGAGTTATGTCCATACATGGAATCCAGTCCATAATATGTCACATTATCATTCCCAAATATTTGGCCAATATGGAAATAAAATATCAAGTATCAATGATGGTATACTTTAACTTTTGATAATCCTTGAACTAAATCTTCAATTTCAAATTGCCTTTTGATGTAGCTAGTGATGAAATACACTGTTGTTTAGATGCTGAAGATGAAAAAGATGCGAGGTATTGTTTTAATGATATTATTATTGTCATCACCATCACTACTAACATGACATATTGAATTATTGTTATGATTGATAGAAGAAATATCACCATGGTTTGGTATTTCTTCAAAAAATTTTTTCCCATTGTCTAGACAGAATGTCTAATGTAGAAGCTGACATATCAAAAAGATCCATTGCTTTTGAAATGTACAATAATGAATTTGGATCATATATTGTAAACAAAATCCTTCGCCCTACAAATAAATAAATAAAAAACAACACATAAATATATACAGTATAACTATAATCTACTTGCATTCCACCTATCTATTACCAACACTGGTATACAATTTATCAATTCCAATAATAAAAATTGCGCATGGACCATATCAAATGGGAAATCTGGTTGCATATTGATTTCTATCTGATGGATCAATTTGATGATGGTCCAGTTAAACCATAACATCTGCCAATAACATTTATACAAATAACAAAAAATTTATTGGTGCCAATTGAAAGTCCATGACCTAAATCGGAGAGTTTTTTACTATTATGAATTTAATTTTGTGAAAAAAAACCAGATCTTTAAAAAAAAAAGTGTAAATCCTACCAATGAAGTTCCCCCACCATACAGGATGAATATTTTTTTCATGGCTCTTAACATGATTACTTTCTGATAATCCAATTTGAATAATAATAGCATTACTCTTCTATTCATCCCAAGTTTCATAGCAATATCAAGCTCAGATAAAATACCTCCATAATCATAAATAAATGATTTATCATAATGAAACATTTTGTATTCTGTGATGATTTTCTCATAATTGGGTTCAGGACCTTCATCCAATGACAAAGTGCACTTAATGGAGAATTTGTACCTTTCTCATTTAATTGTTGTCTATATTGTTTTTTGGGGGGAATTTTTGGTTCAAGTGAAGGTGATGTATCAAAAGTTGATTGTGAAAGTGTTTACAACTGTAGCATTATTTGTTTTGTCAAATCTTTAGAATTATAGGAATTTGGAACCAGTTTGGGACTGATCTCAAATGGGGCATGCTGCAACAAAACCAGACAAAGTGACCATTTATATTACCAAAAATTCCAAGGATCAAAATTTGTAATGTGATTATTAAAATCTCCATTTGTATCTTTGTTTTTTCCTTAATATCAAGTGACATATAGAATTACTCCTATATAAAAATGATAATATGGAGCTAATTTACATCAGATCTACTATGAAACCCAAGAATTATAGCACAATTAGAAGTATTTTAAAAACGGAACAAGGTGAAAAAATTGCTCCTTACATTTTCAAAATAAATGATACTCAGACACTTGAAGCTTATCTAAGAAAAGAAAAGATTACTTATGAAATTTACCAAGAAGAAAGAAAAACAATAAATGTTAGAAAAAGGAAGCAGAATGAAAGTGTGCCATTGCCCAACAAAAAGCAAAAATCATCAGAAGGAAAATGCAAATGTAATTAACAACCATCATATTGTATTACTTATCAATAAAAACATTGTTTAAATGAATTTCACATTCAAGAACATAAATCTTTGTTTTTTCTCATTGACAATGCAAGTGCTCTGACAATTTTCAGCTGATATTTTCTATTATTAGTTGAAATTATTTTCTTTTGTCATTAATTCATTGTCCATAATAATAAATAAATTCCAAGTCATGTGTCCGCTAATTTATCATTGGTCGAAATTATGCATAGAAAACAATTAATTGTAACAATTACGATCTAAATCAATAAAAAAAAGTTTTTTTCAATTTTTATGTTTTAAAAATGACAATTGCAGAAGAAATTAAAAAAGAATTGGACAAGAAAGAGAAAAGATTGGTTGATGTTGAAGAAAAGTTGAAGAGACTGGAGAAATTGAGAAGAGGTATAGAAAAAGAATATTACATTGGTGAGTTGTGAAATTTAGAAGGAAAAGAAGAGGGATTGGAGAAGGAGAAGAAAGAATGGCGGGAGGAAGTAGGGAAATGGAATGAGTTGTGGAGAAAGGAATGTAATAATGAAAAGGGTAATGAACAAAATTGCATAAAAAAAAATTATTTTTCATTCATTCCATTTCATTTATTTATTTATTTGTTTGAGTGACCTATATATATATATTGCTATTTTGAAGTGTTGACTAACCTATGTTTTTTTTATTTCTTTGCTCTATCAATGACCTATTAAAATATATTTCTTATTGTCCATTATCTTCTATCTATTTTACATATGCATTTTTATTCTTATTTTAACAGGAGGAAAACATTTGCTGGATAAAGGTATATATATATTATCTTCAATATTTTAATTTATCATATAATTTTTATTTTTCTAACATCTTGGTCTTTTGTCATGCAAATAGGTAGGTTTTGATTACTATATTTTGCATTTTAGTATTATCCATTTAGCTCACAAGATTATCACTTCCATTTTTTACTTGATATTTTCATGAACAGAGGATGAAGGTAACTTACTAGATTCATTTGATTTTATACCTATATATTTCAATAACTCAAATTATATGTTATTACTGGCAGTTCAAATAGTTAAACGTAGGAAATGTGAAGTGAATGGTACTATTTATCCAGATCAATACAATAAATACTTTGTTATAGAACCAAAAATTGATGAATTTCTTGACAAAATTAAAGATGGTGTATATATACTGCTATATGGGCCATGTGCATCAGGGAAGTCAACACATATCATATATGCAATGCAAAAATTGCAAAAAGAGGGGTATCATTGTATCTAGTAAGTTTTACTTTGTATATATATAAGATTCTCTGATGAGATTTTTTTCTTACTGTTGTTTTGTTTTTCTTTTGTTATGCAATGATCATTCTTTATGGTATAGTTTGGATTTTACAGAAGTAAATGTTAAAAATGATGAAAAAGCAATGTGGAGGTCATTTCGATGGACATTAGAATCCCAGTGTCCTAAAGGAATTGTTAATAATGAGTTTTATGAGATGATTCACTTTATCAATACATTTTCTAAAGAGAAATGGGATCACAGTCATTTTATTTTTTGATGAATTTGATAGAATTTATGATGCTTCAAAAGATGTTATATATTATGAGAAATATGAAAAACTTGTATAGTTATTTTTCAAAATCTCATAAAAGACAACAAATGTTGAAGTTGATGCAGGTAGTTATATTTATATTTTTTAATCTGCTTTTTCATTTATTTTTATTAACAATTTTCATTTTGATTAGGAAATTAATGAAGAGCCATCACTTGTAGTATTAAATATGTGTGATACTAGGTGGTTGTCATTTTCAAATTCTGTGAGTAATTCACATAAAATCATGAAATCTGTATTGTCTACTCTGAATGATTATATTGAAGGAGATAAACTTGCAGAAATTTTATACGAACAATTAGATGATACTTTCATTTCAGCAACAATGTACCTTGCTGATTTAACAAATATTTTAAAGAAATTAATCAATGCATTCCAGTTAGAACATTTATCCATATCTCTTTTTAAATTACAACTTGATGTTACAATTAAAACAATCAAAACTGAATTTATAGGTTCTGAAGAGGTTCCACCAAATTATGGTACAACATTCAAAAACATTTGGAAGATAACTATAATTTTATTCCATCATTTATTAGAGAATATTCAATTGCAATCATTAATGCCATCAAGAACAGATTTCCAGAATATGAATTATATAATGCTTTTAGTATTTTTGATCCAAAGGAACTTCCAGATGATAACATAGAGTCATAAATTACAATGATGGTAGTAATTTTATTTACAGCATATAAAAAGTGGTTGCAATTACCTTTGTGACTACTTTTGCAACCATACTTTTTCCTTTTTTGGATTACAGCACCAGTCTTTAATGGAAATCAAGAAATAGAAATTTTAGGTAATTTTTATGGGGAAATCAAACATGTAAATGAAAATGAATTTAATGAAATCATTGATAAAGAAAAACTTAACCAAGAATGGAATTCAGTTAAATCTTATCTTCAGTTTTATAAAAATAATAATTGAGGAATGGATTTTATTCAATTATGGCAACATATTTTGGATACTGATAATGATTTTTCTTTTAATTATCCAACTATAATACTAGTTGTTAAAATAGCACTTCTTATACCTCTTTCTAATGCTCACGTAGAAAGAATATTTTCTCAAGTGAAATTAATTAAAAACAATTTGAGGAACAAAATACATCTAAATACATTCATTAGATAATCATTTAATTATTTTATTAAATGGTCCAGAAATTGAGGATTTTGATTTTTTGAAAGCATAAGAAAATTGGAATGTAAAAAAACAAGGAGAAAATTTTTTTTTGCTAAAAAAATAGACATGCACATGTTCTGTGTAATGTGGCATGCACTTATTGAATTTTTAATACTGGATCTAAATCAATAAAAAATTAACTCCACAATCTTTTTTTTTTAACAATGGTGACAATTTCTGACGAAATTAAAAACCAACTCAACATTGCACTTGAAGAGCATAGAAAGGCTGATGAAGAGTTGAAGCAGTGAAGGGGGAAGTGGGAAGAGAAGTTGAACAATCTGAAGAAGGGAAGAGAGAAGAAGGAATATGGAGGCAAGAAGGAGGAGTTGAAAGAAAAGTTGAAGGAATTGGAGATGGACAAGAGGGATATGTGGAAACATGTGGAACATTTACAAAAAAAATTATTAGAATTTGAAGAAAAAGGTAATGAACAAATTGTGTAAAAAAAATTATTTTCAAACAAATAAATAAATGAAATGGAATGAATGATATGTTGTTACAATATTGACTAACTTGTACTTTGTTTCTTTTTTTTTTCTCTTTTAGTTGCTGCAGTAAAGTGTAAAATTATCCAATCTCTTAACTAAATAAACAGAAAAGAAGAGGTTATGCTGAAATGGTGAAACCTCAAAATGCAAAACTCTGCCAAAACTCTAATAAACAATTAATGTGTAACCTGCCAAATCCTGCTGATTGATTTCTGGAGGAGTTTCAGCAAGCAACCTTACTTTAGACATAACCATTGGTGATGTGACATCTCTTGCAATACGAATTCTATTTGAGTACTTCCAACCACAACCAAGCATTGACAAATTTGATTTTTCTTCTTTTTGTTCATTATGCAATGATTATTCAAACATTTCAAGCTGAGCACTGCTCTCCAAACAAAAGAATCTAGAAATATCTTCTAATCCTCTACTGGTCCTGGTCCTTGGAGTTGATGAGATTAATAAATTGTATGATCTTAACAAAAACACCTTTAAGAATCTTATAAACACCATTGGAGGAATTATGTGTAATTCACCTGAAAACATTTTTATCATTCCCATTCTGGCTGGAACTATTGAAGGACCTTTGAATCAATATATCTTTGGTTCTATGCATGAACCACTTCCCCTCCCACTACCTTTACTTAATGATGATGATGCAATTGAAATTGGCAAAGCCATGAATCTATTTGATAATGAATATGTCTGCCTGAATCCATATTTTCGAATAAGTATTAGTGATATTGGTGGACATGTGAAAACATTGGAATATTACTACATGTATTTTTCAGAAAAACTAGAATCAGAAATGATGACAGAAGAGGAGACAGCTGTTCATAATGTGAATATTGAGAAAATCATGGAAGATGTCAAATGCAGGATTATAAGGAAATATCATCTTCATCTAAACTCACATTGGTTTACAATACCTTTTGCAAAGGCCATATTGGGTTTTCTGGTTCAAAAAAATGATGTGGCTGATCTCAATGAAAGATCAATGACATATCAGGAGCTTAGTTCAATGGGAGTTGTGAACCTGGTTCCAATTAAGGTTTCTGGTCCAAACTGTTTTCTCAAAGCCCAAACTAGTTTGGGCAATTTGGGCTTCTCAACATTTTTTATAAGCATAAACATTAAAAAACTATATGAATCAACTTGTTTTAACTTAAACAACTTTAAAATAATTTTATCCAATTTTGGCTAATAACAAAAAGTAGTTTGAGCTTATAAAAAAATAAATTTTGCCCAAAGTATTTGGGCAATTTCAGCTACTAATAGAAGCAGTTTCGACCAGAAACCTTAGTTCCAATGGAATGAACTGAGGAATACCTTATTTGGTTACCTTATGTGTGGGTATGTGCAATTGTTGAAAACTCCAAAGACCCTGGGATGATATATTGGAAATTCATGTTAAAATATGATGAGCTGATGTATTGGCAAAGATTTTAATGTCAAATTCTGGGCATTATGCCTCAGTCTCTTTTGTTTAACAGGATATGAGAAGATTAATTTGAAGATCTTTGTAAGGGTGCAGATTTCTCTCTTAGTTTTCCAGATGTTGAAATTGACTTACCTCAAGAAGATATCAAATTGTACAAATTACCACATCAATACCCAGGTATTATGTTTTGCAGATTTTTTCTAACATAAAAAATCAGATCAAACTCAAATCCCACTCTAATATAATTTAGTCACTAAAACTTATGAGAATAATCAAGCAAAATATGTAGATATAATGGAAGTAAGAAATGGTTCATCAGGAAATTTTTCTGATGCAGATTTATGTAATTATTACACTATTTATGTAAGTTTATGGCAGGCCTGTAATATTATGCAAATAAGCATACAAAAATTATGCAATTATTACATCGAGTGTAAATATTATATAATTTTTATGCAAATATTACAACTTTACATATTAAATTTATGGATATAATATTGCAGCGGGGAAAATTTCCTGATGTTATATCAACCTTGATTTATTGAGAATGATAATATCAGGAGTTATATTGGTTGTGTATTTCTTAATGTATCTGGGGCTCCCTTTGATGCCTTTGGGTTTCTTAATAAAAGCTCTGAGCCTGTGGGTGTAATTTGCATAGCTCAACAATCAAAATCAACTACTATTTCTAATGTTATCATCAACCAAAGCTTGTTTAATAATGAGCATGAAAAGGTAACAACACTACTTCACATATTAAATGTGCATGTATTGTTAATTGTTGGTTAACAAATCTCTTTTTTATATAATAATAAGGTTACCAAAGTTATGAATGTTGAGAAGAAAGATTGGGCTTTATTATTCTTAACAAATGCAGATAAGAAAAACCTGTCTATAGATGATAAACCAAATAGTGCTTTGGTGTCTGTGGAAAATTTTCAAAAGTTTTATGGATATACTTATACAAGTCGGGCACAATTTGCATCAGGTATGTTTGTAATTTGGAATTCCCTTTTTGATCATAATGTCTGTTAATGTTCTTTCACATTTACATAGCAAATGAAAAATATATCTCAATAATGCACCTATTGAGTCACTTGTAATTATTGGCTTCAATCAGAATGAGAGGATTAAAATATGTCTTAAACACAAAGAATGCACCTAGATGATTTAAAGAAAAGGCTTAAAATTGATGATGAGAGATTTAAAAAGTTGAATACTGATAGGATTTCTTTTAGTTGATGTATTAAATAGCAATACCTTGTTTATTTATTTTATGCAAAGCCTAGAGATTTGGGATAAACACACACATTATTATTTTGAAACATCAGGTTCCTTAAAAAATTCATTTCTGCATTTCTTTGGTATTATTTATTACTTGGGTGATGCAATTTATTAATCTTTTGCAAATTAAAAATGTTGTAACAGACATATATATTCAATAGTGATCATTACATTCAAGGAAAAGATTAAAAAGTTAAATTTATTTTCAACTAAAATATATAATTATTTAAAGACAAAATCACCTTTATTAATTGCTGTTAATGAAAATAAAATATTAATTTTTTGTCTTTTCAATATTTTGTTCTTTGTAATGGTTTTTCTTGTTCATGTCATTTTTTCTATTTTGAATAACATGTTGTGGTACAAAATTGACTTTTCATAATAGTAACACATTGAAATTAAATTATCAATTAAGTGCTACAGCTTTCCAGAAAGTCATTAAGATATTGTTACATTTATGATGATTATTTATTTATTTATTTTAATCAATGTAATATTATGTATATGAATTTTGTAATAAAAAGATAAGCTTTCCAAACTAACAAAGAGTAACTTTTGATGTAAAGAAAAAGGGTTTCCCTTACAATCCATCCTTTCAATTTTAAAAAACCCACAAAGTGAACATAAAATTATATGTATAGGATTACCCATATATGAAAAATAATAAATATAATGGTTCTAATGAGTACAAAAAGGCAATTTATTTTTTAGAAAAAGGATGTAATTGTGGTTGTTCTTAAGAACAATTTGCAGAATTAAGAGAATCCTATTTATAAATATTTATTGGTTATTATTATCATTGGAAAAAAAAATCAAAAAAAAAGTAAACAGATGCTTGTTTTAAATTTAATTAGATGTTTTAATGCATCCTTTAAAATAAAGATTGAATTAAATGTTTTTGGTAAAGAAAACTCACATATTGAACAAAATAAATACACTTGTGGAGTTTCAATTTTTAAAGAGTATATTTCAATCTGGAATTCTAATAATTTCCATATTAATGTATAAAAGGAACATTTAAAATTTTGTAATTATACTTGAACATTTGATCCCATATACATATATTTTGTTGATATTTTCTTCTATTCCAAGCTGTTTAAATCTCTTGTAAATTTCATTTATCATATTATACATCATATTGGTTATTTTTTTTTTATCATCGTTGGATTTTTTTCACCCTTTTGTAGGATTTTTTTTGCCATTTTCAACTACAACAAACTCTAAATCATACAGACAAGCTTTTACAAAAATGTCAGGATAAACACCAATTTTGGTTTTTTCATCATGTTTGCTTTTTATTGGATTCTAACTCACTATTAATAAATTAATAATTGGAATAAACAATTATTATTTGCAATAATAAAAAGTATAATAGTAATAATATTTATTTATATACCTCCCACATCTTAGAAAATAGTTATCATTTTTAAATAAATAACTAGAGTAATGACAAGCAGTGGGTGATAACCATCACCATCCTTAAAAAACATCAACAACGAATTCTTTACTTCTTTTGTTTTTGTTTTGAAAAAAAAGAAGTTTGTGATTTGATCGACGTGTACACATTAATTTATTATCCTATTGGTTGTTTTTTGGTAGGACAGACGCAAATTGATTTTTTGGAAAAACAAAAAACAATTTATTTTTTGACAGAGTCCAAGGTGACAAAATGTGAGTGTTGTTGTTTGGTTTGGTTTGGGTCTCCTAAAGAATACATGTTAATAACTAACCAGAGGTACTTTTTTTTATTTGTATTGATATTTTTATTTTAGCTTATAAATATTTTATTTTTTTCCTTTTTAAATATATATACCAATAATAATCACTCTTAATTCTATCCAATTAAATTCAATTAAAAATTCGAATATATTTGTAAAACTAAAGATAATATATATATATACATATATATAAGAAAGGTTTGTAGTTTTTTATGCAAACAATTTCCTTATTTGTAATTCTTTGGTTGAGATTGACAAGTTTTTTCATAATGAACTGAACACAGACCTTCCATCCAAACTTAACTTAACATTAAACTTAACATTAAATTAATTAATTAATTAAAAATTTCAAAATATATAGCATTTTTTAAAAAATACTCAAATAGATCAAGCTCAAAATAATTTTTCAATTGATTGAAATAAAATAAACTACAAATACATCAATTAGAACAAAAAAATTTTTAAAAAAAAAGTTATTGTTTAAAAAGATTATATTATATTACTTACAATCTATTTGACAGTCCTCACAAAGATCCACAATGCAATCCTTTTGAGCAAAGGATAAAGGATCATACTTTATTTTATTTAGTTTCTCTGTGAATTCTTTAATGGTATAATTATGTTTAAATAATAAATAATTTGTTCAATTTTTCCTTTATGTTTTTTGTATATTTGATTTGTAAGGTCAATCATTTCAAATTTTATTGGATCACTAATAAAATATATTTTATGTTATATATAAATAAGTTTAAATTATAAATATTATAGATATTTAAAATTTTACTTTGGATCAGAACAATCATCATATATTTTGTTAAGCATTTGTATGAAATCATCATTAAGGGCCTAAGGATACCAGCTGCAACTTTTGATGACGGTTGCTACCACCTTTACAACCATTTTGTTTCCTTTTTTGGATTGTGACATGGAACACTATAAGGGTCTAAACATAATATAAATTAAATATTTACATAAAAAAAATTAAATTAAATATACATTTATATACTTTTCACATCAAGTTTTGATTTTTTTATAATAGTTATTTAATTTATTATTATTTTTTCTTTATCTTTGTCTTCTTCATCATCAATACTCAAGTCATTGTCTGATATTAAATGTTTTTTATATTGCAATTCATCATTTTTTATTCTCTTTAAAAAAAAAAAGATTAAACAATTAATATAATGTTATAATAATTATTAGTTTCAGCAAATGAGAGATAATCATTTATTGTCATTACTAAATCACAGAGCCATATGGTGGGGTGAAATAGTGTAGATCATATTGTTATTGAACTGCAGAAACTTAAATGGTGGGGCAGAACAATGTGATCATGTTATCATACTAAATCACAGCAATCAAAACGATGGGGTGGAGTAGTGGATAGAAATTAAACAGGCTCCCTTTAAACATCATTAAAATATAAAATACAAAATATATACATATAATTAATAACCTTATCATTCTCATATTCATTAAGTAATAATTTTGCTTGAGTTTTTTCTTCTTTGGTTCCGCGCTCATAAGTGATCTACCATATATTGAATTTAATGATCTTAAATCTGGTTTTTTAATTAAAGATGCATGTTCTATGTACAAGTTATACGTCCAATATTTGGGTCTGAATTTATTGAAGTTCAATATTTGAACTAGTTTGCAAAGAATTTTCTGAATGCATTTAAAAATTAAAAAATACATTTATGACTACCCGAGTCAATCATACAGCATTCATGTATAAATAACGTTTTTTATTAGTGTACTTATTATTATCCAATGCTGGTATGCAATAAATAATATGTATGTATGTGTTGCTCTAGCACGATTACCTTTATGTTTAAAGAAATAAATGAAAAAAGAATAAGAAATTCAATTGAATCATTAATTTTTGCGCACCTTGGTAAAAATATGGATATTTTTGGAATTTTTACCACTTAATTAGATCTTGCAATCTGCTGGATTAACTAGATTATTTTTAACCAAGCAAAGCTTTCAAAGGAAGGAAAACATTATTGTTACAATGTATTTTAGTCATGTTGCTTATGACCAGTTTTTTCTATTTTAAGTTAACCTTGTAAAAAATGACTCCAGAATATTTCCATTATATCTCCGTGATCATGTTTATCACTCCGTAAATGTTCGGTTTATTTCATAATAATAATAATAAAAGCAGCACAATTAGGTAAGCAATCCGGATTTTTTCCATGATGTAGAATTAAAACGGAATGTGTGAATAAGCTTTTATAATTCTGGAATGTTATTATTATTGAGTGACTGATAAAGTTGCAAATAAAAATAGACTTTTTTATTATTAACTGATAACCTCGCAAATAAAAATGGGATTTTTTTTCTTACAAAACATTTATTTTTTAATACTGAATTAATAATTATAAATATTCATTAATAATAATAATAATAATAAAAGGAAACAAGAATCTTCTGAAAAAGAAGAGTACAAAAAAAAAAAAACAAAGACAGATGGAAAGAAAACCATCATTCTTTTCTTAATGTTATATTATAAGTAAAATTTTTTTTACTGTAAGGTTGATTTCCCTAGTATGATCGTACGTGGTTATATGTCAAGCATATGATTTTTTATTTATTAAATTTTCTAATTTTTTTTTCTTTGTGATAATATATTTACCTTTATTTCATTCGTTTTGGAAAATTTATTGACTTTTCTGAATAGAGAATTTTGTTTTTAATTTCCTTTCAGAGAAAACAATTAAGAAAAAAAAGCTTGGTTGATTTTCTTTTAACAATCGGAATTTATAAATAATTTTTGATATTTATTCTTCTATAGCAATAGACTTGGAAAAAAAGCTCGGTAGATTTTTTTTAACAATCGAAATTCGTAAATAACTTTTGATTCACATGAGGATTCTTCTTTGCAAAGGATCTTTTATTGATTTATTAAATTTGTGGACAATTTTCCTTTGTATGTGTAACTTTTTTAAATAAATAAATAATTTTTTGCTCAACGCAACGAATAAAGATACTGACTAATATTGATGCTCCGAACGAATATATTTAATGTAACGTGTAAGTCCAAATCATACATGGAACGCCGTTTCGGCACTAAGTACTTCGATCCTCAAATTCGAATGCAACGTAAAAAGCAAAGCCAATGTACCGATTTTTTGGTTCACGAGTGGAGATAGCTGGTCTATTTATATGTTTTTGATGTAATTTATTAGACTACTCGATTAATGCATAATCTGGCCATGAAATAGTCTATTTTTA